CAGCATCGTCCCACAGATGTTAAAGGACTTCAGCCTCCTCAGGAAGAACAGTCGGCTTTGGCCCTTTTTGTAGACCGCCTCGGTGTTTCTAGTCCAGTCCAACTTATTGTTAAATAACACTCCCAGGTACTTATACTCCTCCACAGTGTCAACAGGAACCCCCTGGATGGAAATAGGGGTCACAGGAGTTTTTGTCCTCCTCAGATCCACTATTAGCTCCTTAGTCTTTGTCACGTTGAGCTGCAGATGGTTCAGCTCACTCCAAGTGACAAAGTTGCCCACCACAGTCCTGTATTCACTCTCCTCACCCTTTTCAATGCAGCCAACAATTGCTGAGTCATCAGAAAACTTCTGAAGGTGGCAGGACTCAGAGCAATAGCTGAAGTCCGAGGTGAAAAGGGTGAAGAGGAAGGGGGAGAGGACAGTCCCCTGGGGGCCCCCAGTGTTGCTGACCACCCTGTCAGACACACAGTTCTGTAGGCGTACATACTGGGGTCTGCCCGTCAGGTAATCACTGAATTTCAGTGATGGGACTAACGGCGTTGAAAGTAACGGCGTTACTAACGCTGTTACCTTGTTTTAGTAAAGACTAATCTAACTAAGTACTTTGACTGTAACTATACCGCAGTTACCATTGCAAACACCCCGTTACTGCGCGTTACTCAGGTCGCACAATGAACCTTCTTGTCATGAGAGAGGGGAGGAAGAGATTGGCTGATGTATAGTGAGATTCCGTCTGTCAGTTGGGTAGGTGGGTGTTTCCGCTGGCGGGTGTTAACGTACAGCACACACAGAGAGATGGAGAGTGAGGAGGATCCAGCAGCAAAACAGTGTTTTACAGATGGAAATACCGGTGTTACGTCGAGCTGCGTTTCCCCATCACCAGTGTTGTGCCTGAACGCGTTCATTGAACGAAAGTTCATGAACTCGTTCATATTTTGGGCGAACGTGAACTGAACGTACTGCATTACTGCCTGCTGAACGTTATTGTGAACTCGTTCATTCTGGTGTCTGTGAATGGCACGCTCTCTCAGTTCAGCTCCGTTCAATAGGTTGCCAGATTTCTATAGAGCCCTCCAGGCGAAACCCCGGCTAAATCACACCGTAAACAGGCCTTAATATGTAGCGGGAAAAACACCCAATCTTGCAACACCAGCTACCAGCGTCGTAGCCTACAGCCGCGTGCGTCATCAAAACAAAATGCAGCGTGGAAGCCACAGCAGCATGGAGGCGACAAAGCAGCAGTATGATCACTTAAAGCAGTTTTATGACCAGGTGGTCGGTGAGGATGATGGCAACAAGTTTGCCCGCCGGCTTTCAGTAAAAAAATCCGCACTTCAGTAACCTTAAATTCCTACCTCAGCCTGGTCCCTCAGTTTGTGTTAGTAAAATCTTCTTGAGCGGAGGTCTTCAACAGGGGATCCGCGACCCCTAGGGGGTCTATGGAGGTACTGCATGAGAGTCTGCATGGTTAGTTGATATTTTTATATTCCCCCCCCTGCAATTTTTTCCCCCACTAATTGAAATGTCTTTAAATACTCATTAACATGAAATCAACACACTGTAGTAAACAGATAAATGGAGACAAAAGATGTCTTTCAGTCATCAATGCACACATTCAGCGACACACAGGAGCTCTTTCAAGCTGGGCACCGTTTCATTCACAACAACCAGGAATCAGAATCAGAAAAACTTTAATAATCCCAGGGAGAAATTAATTTCTTTACATTACTCCATCTGTAATAGAGTGACTATAGGACACAATTTCATACAATATATATAGTTAGGGGGTCCCCGCTCCATCTCGCCATCAGTTTGGGGGTCCTTGGTCTGGAAAACATAGAAGACCCCTGTTCTTGAGGATTTTACTATCCATGTAACTTGTTTGTTAAACCTGCCTGGTATAATTTTCCAGGATTCCAGTATTCCTTTTTAATATGTATTGAAATGAAATTTCAAATGGAAAAAATTATTAAAATAAAAAAAAACATTTGCACCTTAAAGACTACTTTCCTATTTTTATTTTAATAATTCCTCATAAAAAAGACCATTCAAGCAGCACATTTTTCCTGATGTTTTTGAGAATATACTGTAGGGGTGAAAGCTGCAGCTGCTACTAGTGTGAAGTGAATGGACAGCAACAAAGCATTAAAGCAACAATGGGGAAATGCTGTCCCCTCAATGCTAATGTAAACCCTGGTTGGATAAGGATTCAAAACTGGATATGAAGATGAAATCTGACGCACAGTTTCAGAGTTACAACTGATAAAATAATTGCTGTCTGTGGTTCTACAGTAGGCTATGGTGTAATTGAGCAATATATGAAAAAAAAAAAAAAAGAACTATGAACTAGTTCATTTTTTGGTTTTAGATTATGAACTATGAACTGAACTAGTTCATTTTAAAATGCGTGAACTGAACTTTGAACTAGTTCACGTAGAAAGAGAACTTTCCCAACACTGCCCATCACATACGGTTTCCCCTGCATCTCCGCACAGCGCAGGAGGCACGATTCACCGCGCAAGCGACAGGAAACGCGCATGCTCGCTAAAGGCGCGCGAGAACGATCAAATGATAGCCTATATGGAGAAAGGGAGAAATCTGGATGGATGGATGGATGGATGGATGGATGGATGGATGGATGGATGGATGGATGGATACCTTTGTGGCAGGGATGGAGATCCATATTTTATGTCACACGCAGAGTATACATCTAGATAGATAGATGGATAGATAGATAGATAGATAGATAGATAGATAGATAGATAGATAGATAGATAGATAGATAGATAGATAGATAGATGTTGCAGTATCGATAAACAACCCAAACACACAGGATTTCAGAATTAGACATCCCCAGTTATTAATTTCATACACTCACCAGATCTGAACACCCTGTTAAAAAACTTTGTCGTCCACGGCGAGAAGGTGGGGGCGTGAGGGTTACGGGGGCGTGAAACGCAAAAGTAACGCAATAGTTACTTTTACTAGTAACTAGTTTCTTTTATTGTGGAGTAACTCAGTTAGTAACTCAGTTACTTTTTGGGAGAAGTAACTAGTAACTAAACTAATTACTTTATCAAAGTAACGTGCCCAAAACTGCTGAATTTACAAAACTTTTCATTTAAAGTAGGCTATGAATGAAAATCAATCAAGTTGATGAGTTCCCAATAAAAAAGATTAAGAAATATCCTTTTAGTAAACATTAAAAAAAGCTTGATCAGAGGTTGGCCTGCAGTTGTTTAAATGAGGGCTGTAAAGAACCAATAAACCAGAGAGGTGGACAGTGTTTTATATTTGGATCAGCCACATTTTCGTGCTTAGTATTCATCTCTAATATAGCCAAAATTTTGTGTTTGTTTTTTATTTTTTTTATTTTATTTTTACTAAATAGAACTGTTAAAAACATAAATGAAACACATTGACATTAACCAACCTGTAACTCCACCAGCAGGCTTGTCTTAATTCTCCATAGTCAGTTACTGACATCTAGTGGTTAGGTTGGGAGTTGCAGACATCACAGTATTCCAACTGCTTTTAAAGGACAAGCTAAAAATAATTTTGTAGTTTATAATATATATTTTATATATTTTTAAGTATTTATATGATATACATTATTTCTCATTTAGTGGTTACCTTTTCATTGAAGATTCATCATTGACTCTTCTTATTACCTTCATTAGTCACTTTGATGGTAAGTCTATGTAAAATGGTCAAATTGCCTCTCCTATTTTGTTGCTTTTTGTGAATAAAATTGCATTTATTTTTTGGTGCTCAGGTTATTCCATCAGGTCATTAACTGTATTCTGAGGAAATAACTGCTAAAATACACTGCAAAAATCATCCAGAAATAAGTAAAAACAATTCTTAAATTAAGTATATTTACCCTTAATTTGAGCAGGTAAATAAGATGATCTGCCAATGTAATGCGTATTTTTACTCTTAAAATAAGATAGATAATATGAACTTGAAATAAGACGATAGGATTGTTTTTCTTATTTTAAAAGGAAATTGTCTTGTTCCATTGGCAAAGTGTCTCACTTACCTCCTCAATTGAAGGAAAAATGCACTTGTTTTAAGAAAAAAATAACTTATTGAGATTTCTATTTTTTGCAGTGTATAGTTTGTTTCCAAAAATTATTATTTTGGGGCTCACATCTAACAAAAAAAAAAGAAAATGACGGTCATCATGAAGCTAAGAGATTAATTTTATACCCGCAATATTTCTTAGAGAAGTTGAAGTAACAATCTTCAAATTTGCTTCCAACCCAATCCGAATTCAGTAAATGTGCTCAGGACTCTGTGGAGGAGAGTCATGGTTTTAGAGAAGCTGTAGAAGGACCGAATACCCGCTGAGTGATCCAGGTACACTCCTATTCTGGATGAAACAGGACCTGAGATGGAGGGTGTAGTGTGAAAAAGAAATGCAACTATGAAGTCCAGTTAAATCAAGGAGATAGATGGTAATTAACTCTGTCTGCACTTTATTTTCTTTGTAAAGAAAAGAGAAAAAGATTTCATGACGTCCAGTCCTGCTCTGGTGACAAAGTTAGTCTCTCATTAATTTAAACCCTGCAGAAAGGCTGTGAAGGTTTCCACATACCGTTACTCGAAACAATTACAGAGTGTTGAAGAAAAAAAATGTTATGAAATAAACCCTGATAAACAGTCAAGCTTTTTATGAGAAGATTTTTTTTTAACAATGGTGTAACAACACAACAATAGGCAACATTCAAAGCAACATTATCTGGTTGGGCCCCATATGAAGTACAACACCCTCTCCCACCAATAAAGGTTTGTTGTTAATGAATTGGAGTATTAAATTACTCAATAAAAAGGTTGGTGGCATCAAAGTATTTAAATTGACTCAATTTCAGCTTATAAAAATTGTGTTTTATGTCTCTTAATGAGACAAAGATAGGAGATGGTAGGAGTTAAGATGCTGGTGAAGATTCTCATTCATCCATGCCATAGTCATTCCAAAACATTTGAAAAAAGCAGTCCACTGGACTTTGTTTCCAAGTTTGTTATCACTGTGCCACTGGTCTGCTTAGACTTATAAATAATGATGAGAACAAAAAAATTAAAACTAGATCCAACAAGTTTAAAACAAATCTGGGCTCAAACTTTACAAAGATCACCATCAAAGCTGAACAGAAAAGCAACATGACATCTTTATTTCGATGCTTCTCTTCTTAAGAATCTACAAAGATGTAAAATCAGCCCAAAGCCACTATTGAATATCTTTTTTTCTCTCTGGTGTTTGTGCATCAGGACTAATGCATAACTGTTCAAACAAAAACATAACAACAAAGTAGCAGCTTAAACCACAAACAAGAAAATTAGATTATTATTTTTCATTAATATGAATTTTCCATCAATAACATAAAGACATTAACTTGAATTAAACAAAATATGGTGCTAAAAATTATGAAAGCTGATTTCTTTTAAGTAAAGACAAAAACAACAATGAAACAAATCATGATCAAAAATAGAATGCTAAAAATAGGAAAGAAAACTAATTGAATATAAACTAAATGTGTTCTTAAAGTTTGCAGAAGCTAGCTGAATCTCCAGAATTAAAACCAATGCAAAATCCAGCATACAGCGGCTGAGTGAATGTGGTCTGGACTCTGTGGAGGAGAGTCATGGTTCCAGAGATGCTGTAGAAGGACAGAATCCCTGCTTTGTGATCCAGGTACACTCCTATTCTGGAGGATATTGGACCTGAGATGGAGGTGGAAATGTTGTTGTACCAGAATATGTATTTATTTTGGAAAAAGTCCAATGCCCAAGATTTGTCATTACATCCAAATACACTTCCATCTCCTACTCTGCTGATATCCTTGTATGTAACTGCAACATAAACTCTCCCTCTCATCTCCACCTCCCAGTAGCAATATCCAGTCAGACTGTCTGTGCTCAGAACCTGGGCATATTCAATGAATCTGTCTGGGTGATAAGGATAAGACTGATGTCGTTCCATTACTGTGGCCTTTCTCCTTCCCTCTGATAGCAACAAATATTCGTTTGCTGTATTTGGATCCAGTGTGATTTTACAGGAATATCTTAAGAATCCAGCTCTGCTCTTTGGTTCTGGTTCTGACAGTAAAGCCTCCACCGCAGTGATTGTCAGTGAGATGTTTGTCCATGTGTCTCTCAGAATGTCCTGTAGTTTATCTCTGAGCTCTGACACAGCTGCTGTCACATCCTCAAAGTGTCTCAGAGGATGGATATTGATGCTGGATGAGTGTGTAGACTCACTGAGTGCTGACAGTGAGGGGTAGCTGTGGAGAAACTGGTTGTGATCCTCTGTGTTTAAGAGCTGCTTCAGCTCAGCTTCTTTCTTCTTCAGCTCAGTGATCTCCTGCTCCAGCTTCTCCTGAAGCTCTTTGACTCGACTCACTTCAGTTTCCTGCTGGGATCTGATCTGCTGCTTCATATCAGAGCTTCTTTTCTGGATGAGACGGATCAGCTCAGTGAAGATCTTCTCACTGTCCTCCACTGTTTTATCAGCAGAGTGATTGATGGCCTCCACCTCCTGTTGAAGCAGCTTCACATCTTTCTCTCTGTCCTGGATTCTCTGATGTATGTGTTCTTGTCTCTCCTCCAGCTCTCTCTGCCTCTCAGTTCTTTCTGCTGCAGCTGACACTGTGTCGTGGCCTCTATGTTCATCCAATAAACAGAAACTACAGATACACTTCTGATCAGTACGACAGAACATCTTCATCACCTCATCGTGATCAGAGCAGATGTTCACCTGGAGGTTCTTGGAGGGCTCCACCAGCTTGTGTTTCTTAAATGTAGCTGAATCATAATGAGGCTGAAGATGTTTCTCACAATAAGAGGCCAGACAGACTAAACAGGACTTGATGGCTTTCAGTTTTCTTCCAGTGCAGAAATCACAGGCCACATCTTCAGGTCCAGCATAGCAGTGATCAGCAGGAGCAGCTTGGAGTCCAGTCTTCTTCAGTTGCTCCACCAAAGCTGCCAGAATAGTATTTTTAGCAAGGACTGGTCTTGGTCTAAAGGTTTTCCTGCACTGAGGGCAGCTGTGGATCCTTCTCTGATCTTCTTTATCCCAATGACTTTTAATGCAGGTCCAACAGTAGCTATGTCCGCAGGAAATTGTCACTGGATCTATCAAAAGATCCAGACAGATAGAACAGCATAATGTCTCTTGGTCTCTAAGCTGTACCTGTTGCTCCATTCCTCCTCTTGGTCAAACTGACTATGTGAGCTGCAAATGCGTACAGCTTTTGTTTGGAAAGAGGAATGTGCAGCCGTCTGTCAGGTTTTCCAGGAATGTGAAACGACTTGTCAGGTCCTGTTTGAGAAAGATGATCTTTCACTTTGAATTAAAAAAATGGTCACTGGCACTACCATAAAGTTCTTAGCTGTTTAAAAACTGTTTTTTTTCATAAGCAGTTACTAATTATGAGGAGGGGCTGTGGCTCACATGGCAGGGGCTCTTCATGTGATGGGTTACAAATTTGAACCCCCCCTTTTCTCTGTTACCGTGCCTGCTGTTGGTAGTCAGAAGGCCCAGTGGGGATGTCAGTTTGCCTTGCTTCTTTCAATGGACCCCGGGTTAGCTGTGGCTATAGTGTAGCTTCCCATCATCAGTGTGTGAATGGATTAATGAGTGTAGTGTGTAGCACGTTACATTTCTTTAAGATTTAAACTTAGACAATTTTACTGTCATTCTTTATACACAGAATACAAAACAAACTTTTGATGCACACAGCTTTTCAACAGTGAATGAGCAGTTTACAACGGTGAAATGAACATTTACATTTATAAAGTAAAGAAGAATATGGTGCAAAGTGCAGTAGAAACATTGAGTTGAGTTCTATTTAAAGAGATTTGAAAATTTCACCATGTAGTGCAAACATGATGTTTACAAATGTGATGCAGTCTTGAATTGTGACTTGATTAGAGTTGCAACAGTTCAAAAGTATGATGGCAGCAGGGAAAATGCTGTTTTAGAACATGCAGGTCCTGCATCGGATGCTGCAAAGCATCTTCCAGAGGGCAGCAGGGAGAACGGTCCATGATGGGGCTATGAGGGGTCGCCGATGATGTTAAGGGCTCTGGAAAAGCAGCACTGGGATTAAATGTCTTTAATGGAGGGAAGAGGAGCCCCGATTATTCTCTCTGCTGTTCTCACCACTCTTCTCACCTTCCAGTCTGAGGCATTGCAGCCTCCACACCACAAAGTGAGACAGCTGGTCAGAACGCTCTCTATGGTGCTTGTGTGGAAGGTCATGAGGATGGGTGGGGGCAGGTGGGATCTCCTTATCCTCAGCAGGAAGTACAAGTCCTTCTATGCCCTTTTGACCAGTAAGGTGGTGTCATCGCCCGTGTCCCCTGCCACATCCTCTGAGTGTTGCTTGCGTTGTAGAAGAGATCCTGGATTTTCTGGCTGTACTTCTGCTTCACTGGCACAGTTTAAGTTGGCTCTCATTGTCCTCAATGCCTCTCTTTCACCAAACTTGAGGGCTCCTTTCTGTGCTTTTAGGTATTTTCAAATCACCCCAGTCATCCAGGGTCATTGCTTTGCTCGGCAGATTATCTTCTTTGTGGTGCTGACATCCTCAATAATTTTCTTGATGTAGGCTGACACAGTCATGGCATACTCATCAACATTGATCTTGTTGTCATATGTTATTCAAAGCATCAGATGGAATAATTGAAAGGTTTACTGTGAAACGACTTGCAAGTCCATTTCTTAGGAGAAGTGAAGGCAGCTTCAGATGTCGGGTACACACAACTGGGTCAGTTGGTTATTGACAAGGGCATACCCCCGTGATTCAACCGTAAAGACACTGTGACGTTGGTTCCACGTGGGGGAATTCTGCAGGCTGCAGCACAGGCAGAGGCTCCAGCTTCTCACCCACTGCAGTCAGTGGCTTTTGACGGCAGGACAGAAGGGGGAAGCTATGGCCACCTAGCTTCCGGGAAAAATCCCACATGAAATTCAGCCCTCTCCTAGCAGGCAGCAAGGTCCAGGAAAATGACAGAGAACAGCTCCCGCTTCTTGTTTTTTTTTTTTTACATTGGGGGAGCAGCACCTGCATCACAGCTTACTTCCAGGCGATTGGTCTTTGAGTGAAGCAATGTTTGGAGAAAACTGGACATTTCTGGAAAAAAGGGGCCTTTGTCTGTACCAAAACAGGGGCGTTGGTGTCAGGCTTTCATCACCGTTCTCTTCTTTTTAGCAATGTTGTATCACAACACAGTGATCCGGCAGGAGTCTGAAAACAGGTCAGGGAAACAGATCAGAACATGAACAGGCAGGCTCAGAGGTGCAGAGGGAGAACTAGTCAGAATCAGGCAATCAGAAAACACATTTTCGCTAGAGAACTCTCACCAACGGCTCAAAATACCTGGCACTGATGACTGGTCTGAAGGCTGGTTAAATAGAGACTGAAGCAGGTGGAACAGATGAGTTGCAATGAGAACTGGGTGATAAGCAGTTGATTTAATTGAGTAATCAAACCAGACATCAGCACCAGGATCATGACAGAAGTCATAATCTCAGCATCATGATCATGACCTGAAGCACAAGGATAAAATTCATAAAGATGGACCAAAGTTTTCAAATGAAATTTGTGCAACACTAGTTGATAAGGGTTAGGGTTTACAAAATGGTGCATAAGGAATTATAAAACCACACAAGACTAAGCATAGAGATTTTAAAATATTAGTGTCAGGATTTGGTTATGGTTAGTTGACCCGAAGCAGAGGCGAATTTATAGTAGATATAATGATGGGTACTGAAAACTAAGTCCAAAAACAACAGGCAATCAAGAATCCAAAATGAAAACAATTTCCAAAAACAAAACAAGAAACCTGGAGTCCAAAAATTCAAAGGTCTCAAAAAACATGATAACACAAGTCCAACGTTACCAAAAACCATGTATTCCAGAGTCATCAGGGGAATAACTGTAACCAGGAGGAAGGCTCAGAGAGACGAGTAGGAGGTAGACTGATGAGGTTAGACGAGGACCCAGCAAACAAGAACTGAAGAGAGAGAGCATTTAAAGGAGACTGAGACAAAGAGAAGACTAATGAGCAGATTGGGAACAGGTGAGCGCAGGGCAGGAGAGGAAAATAGCTAGGGAAAAAGGAGAACACAAGAGGGCAGCAGAGGGGAAAAAATAAAAAACATAGAAAGACGAAAATAACCAGAAGACACAACAAAAGCATTAAACAACTAAGAATATAAAAAATGGAGCAAAGTAAAACTGAAAACTCAAAAGAAAAATATAACAGAGCCAAGACTGAAACACTAACTAAGAATGAACCAAAGAACACAATAAACTAAGAATTAAACCATAAAAAACTATAAAACAAAGAGCAAAGCAAAACTGAACATAAAAAAAAAACATCACAGAAACAGAAACCTAACAATTAAAAGTGATACATATTTTTGTAAGTGATTAATTCACATTTTTTTCTGATACAAATTTCAAATTTCAAATACAAAATGACAGAGGTGTTTCACATCATTTGTACACAAAAGCAACATCTTACCAAGTACCTTGAAAGTGGATTTATCTCCTCAGAAATTAGCCCTTTGTGCTTCTGAAATATAAATAGGAGTGAAAACTACAGTAAAATTGATCATAATAGTTGTCTGAGGCCTTCCGCAAAAAGTAAAGCCTCTGTGTCTGGTAAGTGATTTTGGGACATTTTGTTTTTGAAGACAGATTAGGTTAAAACCTTTGAAACACTAAAATCAATATTGAAACATGTGTCATCAAAGCAATGACATTTTTACTTAAATCCTTTGTTGATCTTTTTCTTTCTTATTTCTTGTCCATTTAGTTACAATAAAGAAGTTAATCTCTTCTCACCCACTCCTTTATTACTTTCGCTTCCTCCAAAGGTAGTAGAGGACAATCTGGTTCTGCCACATTCACCTAAAACCACTTCAGCCAGAAGCTGGAGGTATTTATATCAAACCAACCAACAGATTTTAACTGATGTAGACAGTGAAACAAACAAAGTAAATTTGACAGTTTTTTTTTTTTTTTTTTACTTTTAATTTTTTTTTCTCCTTTGGTGTAAGATTTTTCACCTAATTCGTATTTTAATGAATTATTTGGATGATGTGTCTGTTTGAAACAAGCCTCCCTGTTCTTGATAAAGGTGATAATAAAGTGAAACTAAAACAAAAGGATGCATATTTTTCCCCATCAGATTGTCTAGACAATAGATTTTTTTTTTGTATAGACTGTAACAGATCTAATCCCCAATGAAACAGACAAAAGTATTTTTACCTGTGCTTCCTACTCAAAGTTGATCTGATATGAGCTATTTATGGTATAAAAACTCAGCAGCTATAGCAGCTGTATTTTTAAATTGTGAAAACACAATTTTTCTGATGAAATTTGCAGGTAGGCTTGTAATATATTCTGTTGTTTAACTGTATTTATCATTTTACTAAACTGACATACCAAAGCAACGGTGCAACAAGTAATGACATCTAATGATCAGCTGTGCGTTTTTTGGTACCGGTATGTGTTTTTGCAACACTGAGAAGAAAATAGGTGATCAGAGCCCTCCTGTTGTCCTTTTCTCTCCTTAAAAATCAAAAATGTTCTTGATTTTCATGTTTTTGCTTCTTGGTTTATTGACTACCTTCTTTTCCTGACGCTGATTAAAATAAATGAAAAATGAATTTGCTGTTAAACAGAAAATAAAAAAATTTAAAAAGTGTAATGAGTGTAAAAATAGATGAATGAATCTAAGGTTTATCATACTTGGCAAAGAGACTAAATAACAATAAAGTCATAAAAGAGAGAAGTTTTTTTTTTTTAATAAAGGTATTACACAACACAAACTTTTGATCCAAGGTTTTAATAAACTGTATACCCAAAAGTAAAAACTCATCCACTGAAACCCATCCACTGAATTCTAAAACAATAATCGGAATACAATCATCTGTGTCAGGACACAATACATTGTATACAACCACAAAAATGGTTAAATTCTGGGTTATTTTTTTCAACTTACAATGAAAAGCATTTTTTGTCAGTATATAAGTGAGTATATTATAATAGCTCCATGCAGGCGTTAGTATATAACTTATTTAAAACATGTCGTTCGTTTCTGGGGTTGTCCTTCTGTTACCATTTACCTAAATTAAATCTGCAAGAAATCATATCAGCCTCTTCATCTTGGCATTTAGGTCCTCAACTAACTTCAACTAAACATGACACTTACCATCCCTCC